TTCAGTTCTTCTGGTCTCATGGCAAAGGAGGCAGTTGTTCATGGAGGCAAGAATTGCCTCTTAAAAAGGAACCCCTGCTCAGGCCAGGTCTGCAAGATCCCGCTGGGCTCAGAGGAGAGCCAGATCTTGGGTCGTAGGCTGAGGTGGAGTCTTTCAGAATGCTGAGCTTCACAAAAGTTCAGCTCCATTGGGTGAAAAGTAACCACAGACATTCCCCCCTCACTGTGATTTCCTTCTCTACCAATATGTATGCACACAGCCATGCTGGGGGTTCTCTCTTCACCAGTGTTTCAGAAGATGGGTCCCTGGAACAGCTGTTGTCCACCAAGAGGATGACTGCCCAGAGACAGACTCTGAGGATGGGGTGACCCTAGCAAGAGAGAGAAGGGCCCAAATGTCAGAGTCCCGTAAGTGACCCTGTGTTCTAGTGAGGGGCATCATTTCTTTCTGGACCACAGAGACATAGTCCTGTTCTAAGGAAGGAAGGATCACAGAAAATGTAGAGACAAAGCGTTTCAGTGTGAGCCTGTCGCATTGGAGTTTGGTTCTCTATCTGCAGTCCCAGCTCCAGGGAGAAGGCAGCTGCTGGTGTCACTGCACGTTGATATGGGTCTGAACCCTCTGCACTGGCAGCTGCTGATGCAGTTACTAATAAATAACTACAGATTATTGAGCAATCTCTTCGTGCCAAGCACTTTGCATATATTACCTCATGTTCTTTTCACTACAGTTCTATGGAGGTCAGAACTTCACCCCGTTTTACAGAGGAGGAAACTGAGGTGTAGAGTTCCAACGACTGTGATGGGCAGGCTATTGGGCCAGCAGAAGTCTGAGATCCAGGAGCCAAACTTGGGCCAGGACTCTGGCAGGGTGTTGAGTGGGGAGCCCTCCAGATGCCTAGGAGCAGCCTGTAGGCCTGTCTGCAGGCAGAGATGTTTGTCTTATTCACCCCTGAAAAGAACTACAACCTCCTCTGCTCTTCCCACTACCCAGGGTCGACTAGCACTGGGAGGTGGGTAGGGGTCTGTTTAAATAAATTATGATATAGCCACAAAACAAAATATCATGTAGTCGTTGAAGAGGAGCAAGGCAATTCTGTATGTTTTTCTTTCATTTTTTCTCTACATGGTTTATATTGAACAATCTCTTAAGACATACATATCTATATATGTGTATTATGTATGTATTTACATACACACACAAACAGAAGGCAGGACAGCATATGGTATACTCCCATTTTGAAAAAACAAAGCCAAAACCAAATCGGGGTGGGAGGAGTCCCTCGACCCCGGCGGCTGAAGCCATCGTCCGCACTTTCTCCGTCCGGATCGTCTCCCCTGGGCTGGAGTCTCCGTTCGTTAACACTCCCGAATCCCGGGCGCCAAGGCCCGGGACTGGCGCTCTCCCGCTGAGAGGCCTCGGGCGGGCGGGCCTCAGTTTCCCCCATGCGTGGGAGCCGACTCGAGGATTCGCGGGTGCCCCTCGCCTTTGCCAAGCGGAGCCTCACCCCGGGACTGACAGGCAAGGAAGCCAGGAAAACCTGAAATTGGAGTCAGGGCAGCCGGACGGGAAACGCGGGAACACAGGCCGAGGTTGGGCCAGATTCTGGTGCGGGGGCAGCTGCCCCTTCAGGGCGCGGATTGGTGAGCGCAGGGGTGGGCGGGTTGGCTTCCCGTCAGCGGGGTGGGGCTGAGTGGAAGGGCGGGGCCAGCGGGGCGCCAACCAATTACCGGAGTCTCCGTGGGCGCGAGGGCGGGGCGGCGCGAAATAGCGTCGTTGTCTAGGCGACGCGCTTCCAAGTACTGTTAGGGCCCTAACGTTCTGTCTGCTACTGAGCTGGGCGCGGGGTCCTAGGCGTCTGGGTCTGATGCGGCTCTGTCTCTGGCCAGGTCTGCCTGTGGCCATCTCTGCCTGGGCCCAGCAGCGCTGGGGCTAGTTTATTTTCCTTCTTCTTTTCTAAATTTTTATTCTCCGGCGTCCCACTTATCCAACACTTCTACTAGTTTCGTTTTCTTCGTTTTTCGATGTTCTTAACATTTAGTGTGTTGTATACTCCATTATTATTTTTTTCCTCTACCTCTCTCATATTCTTTTATTTTCCCCTCTATTGTCTCTTTCCTTCCTAATGCTAGATCTCTGCATTGCCCAAGTCTGTAAACTGGTTTAATCGTCTTAATTAGTACCAGCTATTTTTTTTTCTTCTTACTTTAGATGATTCTTTTTTCTAATTTTTATTATTCTCTGGTGTTTCTTAAGGTCCTCTTCAAGACTTAGGTCAACAGTCAGGCAAATGCTTCTAGGGGTAGATCATGATTTATTTACTAAAGGTGGAGTCTTCTCCTTCTTCAAGCTCAGTGAGGCCACCAGATACCAGAGCTGACATTTACTGAGGGTTTCCCATGCCTCAAGCTCTGCTAAGGGCTTTCATCCGTGACATTTAATCCTTATGACAGGCTTGTGAGGTAAGTATCCTCTGTAAACTCATGGCCTTGGAGCCTGGTGCAGACAGCAGGCATGTTCTGTTGGCCTTGTGTGGAGTTCTTTAGTTTTTAAATTTAGTTGTCAACATTTAAAAGTAAGAGATTTTACATAGAAAAAAAATCGTTTTTTAAATTTTGGCTTCTCTTGAAAAATCTCCAAACTTTGGCAATACTAACCCCCAGCTGCCCCGTTTAAACAAAGTATCATTTCTTGAGGCCCCCATGGTCCCTGTCATCTTACATCCAAGCCACTACTCATTTACGTTACTGCCTGGCTGCTGGAGGCCTTTACGTTTCTGATCTCTGCTTTACTTACTGCCTCACCCAGCTCTGGTGCCAATCTGAACTCTCACGGCCTGCAATCCCCACACAGCAACTGTGGTAACCCTTCTTCCTAGATCTGCTCAGATCCTAAAGTCAACCCTATTGTCTGGAAGGATTTTCTGTCATTCCCAAGAAAGCTTTCGTTTCTGTCATGTAGTAGGTGCTCAGTAAACATTTCCTGAACAATTGCATAAATGTTCAGGCTCCGTTTGGTTTAGTTTAGGCAATCTCATGTGGGATCCAAACCTCTGGGACCCCTTCTGTCTCTGGGTCCTTTGGACTGTTGCCCAGGAATCAGGACACACCCACTGTTTTGAACTCTTGCACTTCTGGGACCTCAGTGGAGTGAAATGGTCCACCTTGAGAGTGAGTTCCTTTACCCTTGGCATTTGGCTCTGCTCCTCATTGGCAGAGAGACGCCCCCACACTGAGCTGCTCATCTTTTCCAGGGTCCCCATCCTGCTGTTTTCAGCTTTTAGCTCTCTCTGGCTTGAAAACATTATTGACTTTTGCTACGACTTGGTAAGTCTTCTTCACCTTGAGGATTAAAAAAATCTGGAAATACTAACCAGAGACAAATACTAACCAATGACCCTAGAGGTCATTTTTCTTTCATCAGAATGATTGTAGAATCCATCAGAATCCTAAGGGTCCTAAAACATATTTAACTGCAAAAGCAGAGTTGCAAACTCAGCTGCTGCTACAAAGATGGATGGGGACTTTGGCACCCTGGAGGGTATGCCCCAAATAGGCGTATGGGCCTAGTGTTAGGAGTCCCTGGGTGGCACAAAAGGTTAAGCGCTTGACTAGTAACCTAAAGTTTGGCTGTTTGAACCTACCTGGAGGTGCCTTGGAAGAAAGGGCTTGCGACCTGCTTCTGAAAGGTCACAGCCTTGAAAACCCTATGGAACCTAGTTCTGCTCTGCACACATGAGGTCGCCATGAGTTGGAATTGACTCGACAGCAACTGGTGGTGGTGGTGGGCCCAGTGTTGACCGATGTTCTGAATTTTCAAGAAAATCTGGATTTTATGAGAACTCTCCTAATTTTTAAATGTTGGAAACAAAATTATTAAAAATTTCAATGCACCCGTAGGCTGGTACAGGCAGCCAGTTGTACCTCTGCCTTACCAAATGAAGCGGGTGCTTCTCAGAGGACTTTCACGGGCCAAAGGTGGTGGCCACTGGAGCTTCACCTGGAAGAAACTTCTTGGAATCTGACTCCAGGACTGTGCTCCCCTCCCCTTTCCTAGCACCCAAACCCCATGCCTGGTCCAGGGTAAATGGGTTCCTCACTCAAGAAAATGAGGCAAAGTCTCTGTACTCCCATCTCAGGAGCCTCCACATCCAGTAAGAGGAAACCTAAGAGGTAGAATCTGAAGCTTCCAGGGCTGTCTGAGGGTTTGGGGACCCCACTGGTAGCTGGGTCGACATCTTCACAAATCCCAAGTCTTTCCGAGGTGTGGGGCAAAAGGGTGGGGTAGAGGGGAGTTCTGGCCTACCCATTTCCTAAGTTCACTCTTAGGGAATGAGAACTCTGTGCCAACCTTGGGGGGACCTAGAACCTGCCAGTTGGCCCAGGAGGCTTTAATGCAATCTGGGGGCTTCGGGGAGACATTATGAGACCTTTCGAAGCCCTGTGTGCTGGAAAGGATACCCCTGCCCTCACTCCACCCAGTGTGGTTCCAACTAAAAAGGAGCGGGAGGCGGCTCAATGAAGTACCCTTCTTCACACGATGACTCTGACCAGGCTCTCTCTAAAACGCCAGATGGTAGAATATTTTCAAAATATTTGTTTCTCACTTTTTTGGCGCCCTTGCTTTGCTGGTATCGTCAGTACGTGTTGCTAAAGCAATCCTTAGGAGCCGGCAATGCGGATCAGGTAGTCACCTCGACACTGTCCCCTCCTGGCCAAGAGAGGGTGCGGCCCAGGCTCAGACCATGGCCCGGAACCCTGGACGCCGGGAACTCTATAGTCTGCAGCTGCATGGGGAACCGGATCTGGGAGGGACTTCCTGTTGTCCCTAATCCCAGTCTCCACTCGGCTCCCTGGGCCCGCCTGCTGCAGGCTGCGGCGGACACTCCCTTCCCAGGGAGGGTGCCCGGCTGTGAGGTGCCCCCTCCACCTCTGCCTCCGCCTCAGTGGGCAGGGGTGCTGGGGGAGGACCTGGGTCCTGAGGGACAGGTGCGGTGGCCAGCCTGCAGGAGGGGCCGGGGTCAAAGCTGGACAGCTTCGGGCTGGTGGGGAGAAGGGCCTGACCTGGGCTGGGGAAGAAGGACGTCAGACATCATCCCCCGGGACCGTGAGCAGGTTGGACATCTTGGGTGCCAGGGCGGAGATGTGCAGCTGGGAGCAGATAGGTCGATTTCTGGACTCCAGGCGTGGGCACAGGGTGCGTGTCCAGGGCCTGGGGGACAGACAGGCCAGGATTTCGCCCTGGCTGTGAGGGGCGGGACCACCCAGCACCTGTTTTGTGAGATCTCTGCAGAACTCTGTGCTCCAATGCCAGGAGGTGCAGATTCTGATTCCAGCTCAGGCTTTCCTTGTGCTGGTTGTACTGACATGCGGGGCTCTTGCTTCGGCGACAAAGGGGCATAAACAAAATAACAAAGATAACAAAGATGGGGCCCTTCGATGGCGTGGGGGAGGCTTTAGGAGCTCCACGGTGGAGATTTTTAGAGCACCCCAAGCAATCCGGGCTGATTTCTTTCTGCTCTTCCAGGACCCTGGCCAGCACAAGAGGGAGAAACAACGAAGCAGTGCTTTCCAGCTCTGAGATAGAAAATGTCTGCAGACGGTGGGGGCGTCCGGGCCACCCAGGACCAGGAGGGAGCCCGAGAGGTATGGATGGGGGACCGGTGAGTGAGCACTGGGGGCAGGAGGGGTTTTCAAGGCAGATCCTCTGGACCGAAGGGAGAGTGGACTCACCGTGGAGCAGGGGTGGGGGTGGGGGGATTCAAGAGAAAGTGGCTGATGGGAAATAGCTCCCACCGGGGACTCGACTTCAGCACAACTGCTTTGCCTGGTGACTTCTGTAGACAGTGAACTGCAGGCCACATGAGATGGCAGGGACGCCAATGGGGGTCGTACTGGTAAGGTTTGCTCCCCGGATAGTGCTCAGCGCACCCAGGAAAACCACCCTCTACCCTGCTTCTCTCTGCCTGGGACCACATCTGCTCATCTCCCTGTCGGAGCCCCTAGTCCTTCCTGGGCTACTGGCATGTGTGTAATTACAACCTACAGAGGGGCCGAGGTCACGGGCTTTGAGTCTGAGCAAGATGAGCCAGCCGCAGACCAGGTGCGTGACCTTGGGCAAGTCCCCTGGCCTCTCGAACCAGGTGTGTCATCTGTGAAGTGGGGGGAGTGTGTCTGCCGTGCCCACCTGTCTCATCTGCACATCAGGAAGCTCGGAAGAGATAGTAGACCTGAAAGTCCCCCGTAAGCCATTCCTCAGCCAACGGACAGAATCCCTTACGCATAAAACAACCTGACCTAAGTCAGAGAAACCCTTGTCCTCTCACCTCATATTGCCAGTGGTTGCGAATAGCAACAGAAGTCAAGTATTGGTTTTACTGTTTTCATAGCACGGAAGCACGGAGAATCGTGGCCACTGTTAAGTTTCCCTTCCAGAATGACTTTGAATGTGTGCGTCTCCCAGGCCCACGTTCTCTACTGCTGCTGGAACCCGTCAGGCACACACAGGCAGCATAGTAAGAATAATTACCAGCGCTGCTCCGTTTGTCCAGGACTTTACAGAGCAGGAGTTCTCACACCGCCCTGTGCAGGAGGTGGAGCATCTGTGTCTCAGGGAGGTGGCCTGGCAGCTGGGGGTGCTGCTGGGACTGGCCCCGAGGCCCCCTGACTGGCCGGGTTGTCAAACACAGACCGGGGGGTGGAGGGAGAGGCTCGAGTTCCTAGCAGGAGGTTGGGTGGCCCTGCTTGACCACAGCGCTGGGCTGACCAGCAGGTGGTGCCCATCCTGCAGGTGGCGATATGGTCTCACCAGGGGCCTCCCCAGTCCCTGAGAAATGATTCCTAACAGCTTTTGAGAGAATGAGTTGTTTTTCTGTTTTTCGGCACAAAAATGATACAAGATATGATAAAGAGAAGGTAAAACAAAAAGATAGCAGGGAGAAGGGGTCTGGGTCCTGGGGGGGACTTCCCAGGCATGGCCGAGCCTTTGAGGACTGGCTGGGGCCACGCTCATGAAGGACGGAGCTGGGTGCCATCTACAAGGCCCCTCCACATGTCCCCACAACCACCCTCCAGAGTAGACACCCTGGCACACCCATTACTCAGATGGAGGGAGACACAGATTTGCATGGAGGCGGGCCTGTTTAGGGCTGACAGCTCGTGAGGGAGGGTCTGAGTTCTGGTCTCCTGATTCTGAAGCTTGTTCTTCACCCTCCAGCAGGGTGTGAAGAAGAGGATGAGGGAGTGAAGAGGCTCACGGAGGGCCCTGGGAATGCTATGGCGGGGAGGGGGTTTGCTGAGGTGGGAATTTTCCTTCTGAGACCAGAGTGGGTGGGAGGCCTGAGCAGTTAGTGTCACCCTCAGGCTGTTTTCTACAAACCAAACCAAAAAAACCAAAGCCATTGCCAGTCGAGTTGATTCCAACTGACAGAGACCCTATAGGACGGAGTAGAACTGCTCCATAAGGTTTCTAAGGAGTGGCTGGTAGATTTGAACTGCTGACCTTTTGGTTAGCAGCTGTAGCTCGTAACTACTGCACCACAACTCCAAATACTCCGTCCAAACTGACTCAGGCTGAAGTGGCCCAAGGCCACATGATGCCTCCCACTCACCTTCCGGAATCGGAGGCCTGGGCAACCTGGGGTCAGATACGCTTGAGCTCAAATCCTCGCCCCATCCAGCCCTATGCTCTTAGGTGTTGTCTGATTCCTCAGCCCTGCTTGCCTCATGGACTAACCAAGTAGCTGTGCCCCTCGCTGTGCTTGCCTCATGGACTAACCAAGTAGCCAAGCCCCTCGCTGTGCTAGGACAGAGGATGGAATTGAGATGTAACTGCACGGCCGTGGGTCTCTGGGGGAGGTAACTCTTCGCTCTTGACTACTAAGCTAAAGGTTGGAGGTGTGAACCCACCCAGCAGTGCCACAGAAGAAAGGCCCGGCGCTCTGCTTCTGTAAAGATTACCACCAAGAAAACCCTATGGAGCAGTTGTATTCTGACACATGGGGTCGCCATGAATTGGAATGGACTCAGCAGCAACTGGTTCTTTTCTGGTTTGGAACTGCACCGTGTGGCCCCAGGTGCTTGCCGTGCAGCCAGGCTCAACATGGCTTTGTCCCCTCCCTTGCTGCCCTGTCCTTGTTGTGGTGAGGAGATTTGTGAGTCCTTAGGAAAGAGAAGAAAACAGGACCAGCAGGGCCACAGTGTTACCAGAGCTGCACCTTGAATCCCATGTGCGTTCTGACACCCTCAGTTTCTGCTGCTGCAGGCCCCCCACCCCTAGGGCAGAGTTGGGTCCTCTCTCCCACCTGCCACCCGGTTCTGATGCGGCTGCCTCTCCTAGGTTCCAGGTTACCAGCATCCTTGTCAAGACATGCTTTCTGAGTCAGACGAGACGGGGCCTTTGGGAAGCACTCAGGAATCACCTGACATCAAGACCGAGCCCGAAGAGCCGCACGCTGCGGGGGCGTCACAGGGGGAAGGGGCTCCGAGTTCATGGAGGTGGGCGCCCCTGAGCCATAGCTCCAAGGAGAAGGCTCTTCTCCTGCCTGGTGGAGGTGAGCAGGGGGAGGTGGGGGGGGGGTGAGCAGGAGGAGAGCAGCCAGGAGGATGGCATGGGGGAGGAGAGCAGAGGGGTGATGAGCAGGGGGGAAGAGAGTGGTGGGGGGAAGAGAGCAGGGTGACGTGAGCAGAGGGGTGGTGAGCAGTGGGGAGGCAAGTAGTGGGGAGGGGAGCTGGGGTAGGCGAGCAGAGGGGTGGTGAGCGGTGGGGAGAGACCAGGGGGAAGGAGAGCAGGGGGGACGTGAGCAGGGGAGGAAAGCAAGGGGGTGGTGAACAGCAAGGAGGTAGTAAGTAGGGTGTAGCGAGCAAGGTTGTGAGCAGAGGGCGAGCAGAAGGGCACTCCCCAGGGCTGCGGCAGTGGGGACGGTGGTGGCTCACAGCCAGGGCAAGGTCCTGGCACCTGGATAGGGCAGAAGAGCTGCCCACCGCGGTGTGGGTAGACAGCCCCTCAAGTCTGCCCACACTCTGTCCTGGCAGAGGCCCCCCCATGCAGCCTCACAGCATAGCGCCCTTGTTCCTAGGCCCGGGGGAGGTGGCATTTGAAGGACCATGGATGTCCCTGGAGGCCAGCACTGAGCTGCTCAGGGGTAGCAGGGCCCAGCAGGGGAGCCGGCCGCCTGAGGTCCCCTCTGCTCCCCCAGCCCACCCCTCTCTGCAGGTCCCGGCTGTTTCCCGGGAGGGGAGAACCAGAGACCGGCAGATGGCTGCAGCGCTCCTCACTGCCTGGTCCCAGGTGAGTGGATCCCTCT